ACAATTTCTTGCCATTTTAACCAGAAAGGACACTGTCTCAACGACTTAACTACCTGCATTCTGCTACAAAGACCTTTTACATCTGCACTTGAAAGGGAATCCTCTGAACTGTCATTCATGCTAAAATTCGACACTCTCCGGGGGGGGGCGGGGATTGAACAAAGACCCCAACTACCTTACCCATTGCAAAGATAGCTTCCCCAATGATCACCTCTAATACCATTACCTTTCCCCCTCTAATATCATTAACTCACAGACACTTACCTTCCTTCCCCTCCCCTGCATCCCTCTTCTGTTCTGAAATGTGATTTGTCTTTTTCATATGTGTTCACTTTTTTTTTAAATTGTATCCTTTGTTATATATGGTTGTGACTATTTTCTTCCACTATTTGATCTGAGGAAGTGGGTCTGGCCCACGAAAGCTCATCATCTAATAAACCATCTTGTTAGTCTTTAAAGTGCTACATAGTCCTGCATTTTGCTTCAGCTACACCAGACTAACACGGCTACATTTCTATTACTATCATAGATCATAAGGCATCCCTTATAGAGATATTAAGTAGTGATTAATTTGCTAGTCAAGTAGTCAAGGCAATTTCCATTGACTACTTGACTAGTCGCTAGGGAAAGGCAGTTACAGCGCACACTTCTGGGTCTCAGCCCAACCCTTCTGCCCCGGTCTGCACTCTTAAAGGGACAGAGAGGAGCCAGCACATAAAGACACTGGCTCAATCTCTGGTCCCCCACCAGGTCTTAGGACAACCCTCCCGCTGCCACCCTGCATGCTGAAAGGGACCAAGCAGCAGCAGCCAGTCCCTGGCTCTCTCTCAGTACAACCCCTACTCCTACCCCCCACTGCCACTTGGCATTTTGAAAGGGACAGCACACCAGCAGCTGCTTAAGCTGCCACTGCTCTGTCCCTTTAAAAATGCAGAGTGGTGGCAGGGATTTCTCCTGATATGCAGTGGGGGACCAGAGATTGAGCCAATGTCTTTGTGCGCTGGTTCCTCTCTGTCCCTTTAAGAGTGGAGAGAGAGAGTGAGTAAGTAACAGAGTAGTCAACAGTGCTATCCAATAAGCTCCTGCTTCTCTGGTAGTCGACTACTCATTCACATCTCTAATCTCTTATTAGGCTCTTTTTCTTTAATCCATGTCACAATTCTGTAACTTGTATATAGAAAAGAATTGTGTACAAGAAAATTCCATTCCCAAATCAGCCATTGGTCATGGGAGCAATACCTGTAATCACAATTCTTCTCCACATGGTCATCATTCCTAATAAAACCCTGTTTCTCCACATAATGTCAGAAGGGTTGCAAAATCATGCGTATGTTCCAACAGCAGGGTTTATTATACTGAATTCACCTCACGAAAAATGGTTCTCAGTATTGAGAAAGCCTGTTGGAGTTTCCTGTTTTAAGAAACCCCTTAACATGATGCTGACAAAGTACAACACACAAATATACACACATACAGTACAACTTTCTTCTACTGAAAGACTGAAGAGTGAAGCCCCTAGAACTGTGATTTTCAACCAGGTGTCCTGAACCTCTGGGCAGCTATGAGCAGGTTACATGAGGTTTGCTAAGCAGGGCCATCATTGACTTGCCGCATGGGGCTGAAGCCCAGGGCCCCAACCCTGACCAACTTAGTTTCATGGGCCCTCTGCAGCATGGAGCCCTGCACAGTTGTCCTGCTTGCTACCCCCTAAAACTGGTCCCAACTTTTATATGCACAAAAACAGTTGTTGTGGCACAAGTGGGCCGTGGAGTTTTTATAGCATGTGAGAAAGACATCAGGAAAAAAAAGGTTAAGAACCCGTGCTCTAAACATCTTTGGCAGTCCCCTTTCCCATCGGGTGTTGCACTTTAATATAACATCCTCTCCACACACTAGACATCTCTGCAGTTCAAGACATTTGGACTTTAACAAGGAATTAATTTAATTTTGTAAAGTTCCACAAGTAAATTATCAAAAGATCACCCAAAAAGAAAACCTCCAGTTTTGAAGGATTCTGGCCAGATTGTAACACATGAATACTGCTCATCAGAATAGCTGTCACATCTAATGATAAACATTTCAGCTACGCTGTTCTCTGTTTTCACGGTACTTTACAATTCAAGGGATAAGAAAAACACAGGGCTCAGTCTTCAGACACTGAGCCTTCAGTAGGACTTAGGAGACCAGGACCTTGCAGGATCAAGCCATTATGGACTGAACCACCAGTAACATGTACCTTTTGATCTTCTGTGAACTCTGAGTTGTTGTGTTGAGACTGGGCCTCTTTCTGTAGATGTCTTGCTAATCTGGAAGTGGAAAAGGGAGGGGGGGAAGTATTTTAGGTATTTTCTGTAGATTGGGAACATCATACTGAATCCCATGGTGCAGTCTTCAGAAAACACGTTAGCTAAATGCTTTGTAGACTGCTATGCTTGCATATTCCCAATATAAAACCCCTTAGACCGGGGTGGGCAAAATACAGCCTCCCAAGCAACTGGATCCAGCCCATGGCCCAGTGGCAGCTTAGCCCTGCCCTTCTTCCACACACCACTCAGAGCAGCCAACTGCAGGGGCCATGTACTCCTCTGAGCACTGTGAATGGGGGGGAGGAGGGAGAAGAGGCTTTGTGCACTGTCCCCATCCCCAGCACAATCTCAAATAAACCGGCCAATGGGAGCTACCTGGGCTGTGGGCAGGGGCAGCAGGTGAAGTACGCCTGGCCCCCCCGGCCCCCGGGACTTGCAGCATTCAGAGGAGCACATGGCCCTCACAGCCAGGGTATGAAAGGCAGGGAGCCTGCATGAGGGACCTGCTGGGCTGCACCTAGGTAAGTGCCTCCCAGCCACATCCTGCTTTTGGCACCCCAACCCTCTCTCCCCCAACCCTCTGCTCCCCCTCCTGAAGCCCTGCCTTACATAACCCAAACCCTCTGCATTGCTACTCCTGCATCCATACCACCTTCTCAAACAACTCTGCACTACAATCCCCTGCCTCAGGTTGCAACCTAAACCACTACACCGCCTCCTGAATCCTTGCCTCGGGTTAGAATGTCCTTCCAGACTCTGCATCCCACCTTCCCCCCAGGTCAGAATTCTCTCCTGCATTCATACCCACTATTGCCCACCCCCAATCCTCTGCCCCAGGTCACAACCCCATCCTCCACCCAAACTCCCTCCCAGATCCCACACCCCTGCCTGCATGCAGCCCCAAACCCCTATCCTGAACTCCCTTCTGCACCCGACCTTCCATTAATATCACAGAAGAATGCACTCTTGACCATTTACCAAATTCCTGGAGTGGGCTCCCCATCAAAAATGATTGCCCACTTCTGCCTTATATGATGTACATTATATTAGCAAACACATGACCATATCAGACAGTTAAACCAGGCCTGCAAGTGATCTACAAAAGGTAAGAGCAGAATTGCATCTTTTTATGATGTGTAAGGATCACCTAAAACTCTCTAATGTGAAAAACAAGCATAACATTTATTTAGAAACATGTCTTGTTGCCCAGGATAATTCATTAGTTTCAGGAGTTTTCTAGTCATTAAAGCATCACAAGAATCAAAGTTCTGTAACAATTTTAGTCTAATTTAAACAACACCTATTTAACTGTAATGACAGACATTCTGGAAAAGAGATTTCTGTTGAAGATTCAAAATGCCAACTCCCTCAGCTAAGATGATTAACTATCACTAAACAAGAGGTCTTCCAGAAAAAGCAGATTTTACATCCCTGATTGTTCTCTAAAGTAAAACTAAGAGCACTTTTGAGAAACAACTTTCAGGTCTCCTATATGTCATAAAGGAACAAAAAGGAGATAAACCTTAAACAAACAATTATTTTATGCTAAAAATAACTTGCTTAACAGAGTGATCTATTCATGAAGCTGGAATAGAACTGAAATTGTTATATTTGGGGACACTTTAGACAGCCTTCTGTCTTGAGAGCCCTGCAGTGAAGGTGGTCTCTTGGATAGGTTTCATAGTACTTAAAATATCAGGTATTAAAACAAGTTTAATATCAATATCTATCATATAATCAAAAGTGTCATATTTTAGTGCAGATACAACTGTATATCCCCTGCTAATACACTATCAGTAATTAGGAGACTAGTTCTACTCTTGAATTGTCCAATATTTCACAGTGAAATCCATGGTCAAGTCATTTAATTTACCTGGAGCTCAGTTTCTAGATTTAGCTAGCAGTGGCAGTAATTACCAATCTCTGTCAAGCACTCTGACCCTTGGTTGAAAAGCACCACGTGCATAATATGCATTTATTTGATTTCATATTTTAAGGAACTTCAGGGGGTAGCCAAGTTAGCCTGCTACAGAAAAAAAAAACAAGCAAATGGTCTGGTAGCACTTTATAGACTAACAAAACACGTAGATGGTATCATGAGCTTTCGTAGGCACAGCCCACTTCTTCAGATGACCGGAGTTACCGTATTTTCCGGCGTATAAGACGACTTTTGATGTAAAAAACATCCCCCAAAAATTGGGGGTCGTCTTATACGCCGGGGCTTTTCTCGCCCCGGAGGACACAGACTGCGGGACCTCGCGGTCCCGCCGCCCATATACTCCGGGGCG